AAAAAAGCATTCCCTTCCATTCAGTGTTTAATGATTTTAAATCAGTGTGTCCTAACCTCTATTTTTTTTTTAAATTTTAGGTAGACTCCAAGTCCAACATGGGGCTCGATCCCTGAAATCTAGAGTTCCACGTTCTATCGACTGAACCAGCCAGGTGCCCTGACCTCTCACTATTTTTAACTAGCATGTTCCTGGGTCCATCATCTTTTCTCCATCATGAGCTTCCACGTTTGGGTGTCTCCTTGTGTATTCTCTGGTTCACTCATTCACTTCTCCTCCAACGCGGCTGAGATTTACCATTTCTGACAATGCTCTTTATCCCGTCCATTCTGGTTTTCAATCCATTACCTCTTGGGTAGCACAATGCAGATTCTCACATCTCAATGAAAAATGGTAACATCCCTTCCTACATTCTCCCTGCACTGCACAGGGGTCCATGTCTGAACACAGGATCTCTCTGACAATATTAACCACAAAGTCTTATGCTTTTACTCTTTCCGAATCAGAATCCCTAGGGGTAGGGACTAGGAAATTATGTTTTCAAAATTTCCCAGGTACTTCTTAGGCACTTGAGGCCCTGCTCTGTCCCAAACAGTTCTCTTCTGGCTCCCTACATCAGAGTCATTAGAAGACAGATTTAATTGCCTAGAGTAGAGCCCGCTCATGCTGACTCTCATCAACCTCTGTCCCTGGACTCAGGCTGAAAATCTGGACCCCAAGTCCCTTTGTCTAGCCCTGACACCTCTCCTCACCTTTATTTATTTTTTTCCTTGTTTGGTTTTCAGGAATTTTATGAGCTGCTGTTAAATATTAAAAGTTAAAAAAAAAAAATAGGGACGCCTGGGTGGCTCAGTCGGTTAAGCATCTGCCTTCGACTCAGGTCATGATCCCAGGGTTCTCATCGGGCTCCTTGCTCAGCAGGAAACCTGCTTCTCCCTCTGCCTGCCATTCCCCCTACTTGTGTTCTCTATCTCTCTGACAAATAAAATCTTTTAAAAATATATTAAAAGTTAAATTATATAAATCTATAATTAAATATTAGAAACAAAAGAAATAAATATTACAAAGTCATTGCTTCCTGATTATCTTGCTACATTTTACTCTTTCTGTTTTGGAGGTTGTCTGTTTCAGTTGTATCTCTAAGGTGGGAATCCTACACAATAATGCACTGTGACTCCAAATCCACCTTCAGCAACATCCTGTTGGAAGCTTGAAAGCAACCCTAATGGGAGTATTTACACCTTGGAACCCAACAAAATGCTACAACGTAGGGCTTCATTTATTGTTTCACTGACAATCTTTTCTTAAGAAACTGATGGGAAATGTTAAAAATGCAGACTAAGCTGAAAAATGTGTAGTGTCTGTAGCCTTTATATTATGAATAGCTCCAAAGAAATTCAGGGAATATTCTTCCAGTACTTGAAAACTATTACCAATTTGGCAAGGGGGCACCTGGGTGGCTCAGTCAGTGAAGTATCTGCCTTTGGTTCAGGTCATGATCCCGGGGTTCCGGGATGGAACCCCACATTAGGCTCCCTGCTCAGCGGGGAGTCTGCTTCTCCATCTCCCTCTGCCCCCCCTCCTCCATGCTCTCTCAAATAAATAAATACAATCTTAAAAAAAAATTCAGCAAAGCAGTTGCTCACATCATTGAGGAATGAATGAAATTCTGACATATGTCCCTTCACTTTTTCTTATGAATTAACTTAAACAAAATATCAACCAACATTCATGTTGGACCTAGATTCTTTTGTCAGTTGCAACCATAGGCTGACAACAGATACAGAGCCCAGCAAAAATCAAGGAGCCATTCTTTGAGAATCAATAGACTATGTGGAATTTACAATTAAAGTAGTATATACTTTATTATTTGTAAATTGTGTGCTATTTTTCCTTTATATCATTAAAATTTATAATAAACGTAGGCATATATGTACATGCATACTCTGTTCAGAGAGCCAGTTGCTGAACATTCACCAACAAACCACTGTCTAAGCCTCAATGTCCTCAGCTGCAGAGCAGGATGCTACCACCTCCCTCCAGAGTGTCTGTGTGAGCGTTAGATAAGGCATAGACCTAAGGCCCACCTGTCCACTATTGCTGGTCAGGTCAGAGGGGGAGAGGTCCTTGTAACTCCCTCACTTGGGGTCCTTGTTCTCCACTATAAAAGTCTACCTCTTGGGGCACCTGGGTGGCTCAGTAGGTTAAGCGTCTGCCTTCAGCTCAGGTCATGACCTCAGGGTCCTAGAGTCGAGCCCCACGTAGCGCTCCCTGCTCAGCAGGGAGTTTGCCTCTTCCTCTGCCTCTGCCCCTCCCCCTGCTTGTGCTCTCTCACTCTCTCTCTCAAATAAATAAATAAAATCTTAAAAAAAAAAGTCTACCTCTCTCTTCGATTCTATTGTCTGTGAGTCCTGTCTCGACAATCACCCCACTCCATGTCTTCATGTTTTCTTCTCTGTGGACCACTTCCCTGGGCTCTAAAAACACACCAACATCTGTCTACTCTAAGTTTAAAAACAACAACAAACCAAAAGTTCTTCTCTAATCCCAAGCTACCATCCCCACTTTGTCCAGGCCTCCTCTGCCAGTCATCTACACAGAAAAGTCAGGCTGTTCCTCCCCAGTTCCCACTCAACTCTTACCCTACTGCCATCTGCCCTCCACAGGGAACCTGGTCTCTCAAAAATCTCCAACTGACCCGCGTGCCAGACCCAAGATCCCCACTCTGGCCTCATCTGACTTCAACTTTTCTTAAAAGTGCTCCTGTCCTCCAAAATGGCATTTTTCTCCAGGGTTTCCTTGTATCTCCACTCACATCCTTCCCCACAGTCCAGTCACCGTTGCGCTCTGCCATAGTCACTCTCCTCTAATTCTTGAGGTGCTACTTGTATCTTGTGAAGGCAGATCCCATGGTCTGTGTAGTCGGGCGTCCATGAAGGATATTCCTTTCCTCCCTTCTCTCGTCCTCCGAGACGTTCCCCTGGCACATGGCCTGAGGGTCTGGGGAGACGGACCCAACCCTGGGCTCCAGAAGAAAGCCCAGCCAGGGTAATGGTATTCCAGCTCTTGCCAGTGCTTGGTTCAGCAACGGACAAGTGTGAAAGAAGATTATTCCATGACCCTCAGTATCTAGCGTCCCCATCCTTCCTAGCAGCAGAATTACAGCTGGGCACACAGATCCCAAGGAAGAAAGGCATTTGGTATTCTCCCATGCAGCCAGGTATGACCAAGTTTTGTCCCGCAGAACACGAATGAAACTATTTACAACCAACACTGTGCCCTTCATTTTTTTTTTAATTTATTTAAGCAATCTAGAGATTGCTACCAAGGTGGGGCTCAAACCCATGACCCTGAAATCAAAAGTCACATGCTCTTCTGACTGAGCCAGCCAGGCGCCCCCATTGTGCCTTTCAAATGAAAGGGCATACCATCCCCTTCCTTAAACCATTCCCGTGGAGGGGGGCACTTCCCTGTCTTGATTTTTAAAATATCATCACCCCCTCTCTACACAGCTCCACAAGCCTAGTCCTAGTGGCATTTTTTTTTTTTTTTTTACTATCTACCTCCAAGCTAGCAGTCATTAAGTACTGAGAGTGCTAGTTTGGGATTCCCCCCCAGCTCCACTGTCACTACCTTTGATGGACCTAAAATTCTCCAGACATCTGGAGAAGCCTCCTGACTCCAGCTTCTCCCCAGGCCAGTCCATCCCCAGTACGCAGCGCTGCTCCGGTGGAGGCCCTCTGAGGGTCCCCGGCACCGGCAGCCATGTGTCCCAAGCAAGGCTGTGCAGAGCTCAGTCAGCTCCATGGTACCTGGGCCCTACCCTGGAAAATCCCAAGTAGGTCTGGGGTGGGGGGTAGGGGAACCTGAGAAGCTGGTCTGCAGATAATTCTGGTGGTTAGCAGGCTGGGGAGGCCTGACCTTCAGGGGAGACCAGAGCTCCCTGTACAACTGCATCCGGTGTGGACGGGGGCCAGCCTCCCAACGTTCTTTACCCTCTGTGCCTCGGAGCCTTTATGCTTGCTGTTCCCACGGCAGGAACGCCCTCCCTTGATTACAAGGTGAATCCCCATTCATCTCTGAACATCTGTCGCAAATGTCAGCTCCTTGATGGCCCTCTCCCAAATCGGCGTGATGATGCCTTCCATTCGTCAGTCATGCAAACATTTAGTGAGGGCCATTATGAGCCAGGCTCTGTAATTACAAAGATAACACACCTACTCTGCCTTTGAGTCTGGGTTGAGGAGGCAGACATACAACAAGTTCAAAACATTTCGTTGTTATTCTTTTAATCTTTTCTCCTCCTTATAAAAATCATGCACACACATTATAAAACTATTCCAAAAATATAAAAAAGAAGTCCCTCAGTCAGTCATAGCTATTACTAAGACTTGGATATGTAATTATCCAGGTCGTATTCGGTATTTAACAAAATTGGGTTTCAAACATAATGTTTTGCTTCCTTTGTTTTGGACATCTGTCCACACACGAGTGTGGCTGCACCTCATTCTCCAATAGCTTCAGGACGTGCAAACGGGCAGGCGTGCCACCAGGGACTCAATTCCCTGACAATGGAAGCTCTAGTTGTTTCCAATTTTTCTCTGTTAATGCTGTATAAAATCCCTGTCTACACGTCTATGTTTATTTGCATGAGTGCCTCTAAGGGGTAAAATCCTAGGGGCAGAATCCCAGAAGTAAATGATACAAAGCATTCACAGCTAGCCCCAAACTGCTCTCTGAAAAGCTGGGACAATTTCTGCACTCTCACCAAAAACGTCTGAGAATAGGGGAGGGGCAGAGGGAAAGGGAGAGAATCTTAAGCAGGCTCCATGCCTATCAGGACCTGAGCCAAACTCAAGAATCTACCGAGCCACCCAGGCGCCCCTTGAACAGATACATTATAATACCATTTCTGTTTGTAGTAGAAGCACACAGAAGAGGGTGGACTTTCTCAGGAAAAGCAGCCAAACTCTGCTCCCTCCACTCTTTAAACATGGAAGGAGTAGAGTTTTCTAGGAAGAGGCCTTTGGGTTGGGTATTCCAGGTGGAGAAATAGCAGGCACTAGGCCCCAGTGGTGAAAAGGCATGGCAGTTATTCGAAGAAATGCGCACGGGGTGGAGACCAGAGCAAGGATCAGAGTTGGGTTACAAGATTCTTCATCGTTCCCAGAGACTTCTTGCAGCCTTTAACAAGAGCATGGTATGCTGAGTTGCAGCAGTGGCCCAAAAAATGTCACATTAAACTTGGGTCTCAATCTTAGGCCCCCGCCCAAGGCATCATGAAAGATCCGCAAGTGTTGGCTCACTGGGCAATGAATGGAGAGGACCCACCCTTCCAGAATTCACCCATCCCCCCTCTCTATCCCCTCTCTTTCAAGGCTGAGAGTTTGTTTTCCTCCCTAGACAATGTGTGTCCTGGGGAAGGCAAGTTTTGTCTACTACCTCCTCGTAAAGGACTTGTATTTCCAGAGCTTAGTGTGCCTGGCACTGCCAGAACTGTGTTGAACCAAGGCTAAGTCATGAAGGAAGGGCCAAACCACTTTCAGGATTGGACCCAGGATGCTAGCGTTGAAGGTGCCATGAGTGGTTGGCCTGTCCCAAGAATCCTGAGATGATGGCAGGAGGAATACAGGTGTTAGGGGTCCGCCATGATTCACAGTCTACATATTGGCAGAATGATGCCTGACATGGTCTCTAAGTGGCATCACGGGGATGTAGGAGACAGTCCTACTCAGGGGCCAGCGTGGCCAGGATGTTTGCCAGGGACACTGTCTCTCTGGGCACACTCCTGGAATAAGCAAACACTCTCCAAGAGGCTGGCTTCCATCTGGGATGGGAGGGAGTCCCAACAGCTCCTATCACGTATCGAGTGCTCACAGTGAGCCAGGCACTTGCTAAACACTTTCTATAGGTGAGCTCATTTAATCCTCATAGCCATCCTATTATCGCCCCTATTGTACAGATGAGAAAACTGAGGCACAGAGCGGTAACAGGGTCAGTGGAGGAGGCAGGATCTGACCCCAGGCAGCCCTCCCCCACTGCACTCTACTACTCTGGCTGACCGGGGCTTTGAGGGGCTCTCTGATTTCTCTTTCTGCAGGGGTGCTCTGTGGAGATGAATATGACAGTGCCCAGCCAGGGGGAGGCTCTCCAAAAATGTTTGATGACGGGATGAATGTGCGAATGAATGGAAGCACCCAGAAAGGCTCTGGGGCCACGCACTGGAGATTGCTTCCCAACCCCGAACCACTGTCAGTGGAGCACGTACTGGTTCCAATGGGAGCAGGGGGCAGGCCACCGGGGCACCCTCCTCTGGCCCCATTGTTCACTTGTTCACTTAAGATGTAAAGGTAGAGGCATCTGCTCCAGTAATTGAACTGTGGCTTGGGGCAGAGAGGAGTTCTTTTGGGAAGTCTGGATCCGGAGTCGATCCGGGAGTCTCGTACCAGCAAACCCATTTGGATCAGAAACCAGGATGGAACGCACTTACCATCTGATCGTTTTTCCATTTTGCTTTGCATTTTCAGACTGCATGCAGACACACTCATCCCCCTTCAATCACACAATACGCACACTTAAGCTACTGCTGTTCTGCTTGTCCTGGGCGAGTGAATGAGGGAGACACTGAGCTCCTGTTGGGCGGGGTGAAGGGAGGGAGGACGGTCCTGCACAAGAAGCAAGCACCCACCTTGGCTTCAAAGAAGTCCTTGGCACCTTTGACGCCCTCCTGGGCCACATCGATCTCGGAGAGCTTGGCCAGCGCCATCAGCCCGCTGTCCTCCCCCAGCTCCCCTGCAGCGGCCTTGTGGAATATGAGCAGGAACTGCAGGGAAGGGTGGATCAGAGCCCAGGTCAACCTCACGGAGACTCACAGCGATCCCCGCCAGCCCAGGGGAAAGTCATGAGTGCCAAGAATACAAAAAAGGGTATAAATATGTGCACAGGACCAATTATTTTTCCCTTATCACACTGTCAAAAATAAATACATGCCCATTTTCCACAAGAACGTAGGGAAATGGGCACCTTCGTATCCATTGGAAGGGAATGTAAACCGATTCAAATTTTTTGGAGGGCACTCTGGAAATATTTACCAAAAATAAAATGTTTTCACCTTTCCAACCATTAATTCCACTGCCGGGGCATCTGTCCCTCAGAAACATTTGCACAATAGTTTAAGAAGCATTGTCTATAAAAGCAAAAACTTGGCAACGTCCTAGTTTTTGGCCACGAAAGAAAACAATCCAATAGACCTACATGAACTACTTTCTTAAAATTAAATAATCTCGATGTATTTTCTGTTTGTGTCCCATTTTTGCATTAGATTGTTTACTTTTGCTAGTGTTTTCTTTTAAAGATTTTATTTTTTAAGTAATGTCTACATCCAATGTTGGGTTAGAACTCACAACCCTGAGGGTGCCTGGGTGGCTCAGTTGGTTAAGCGACTGCCTTCGGCTCAGGTCATGATCCTGGAGTCCCGGGATCGAGCCCCGCATCGGGCTCCCTGCTCAGCAGGGAGTCTGCTTCTCCCTCTGACCCTCTTCCCTCTCGTGCTTTCTATCTCTCATTCTCTCTCTCTCTCAAATAAATAAATAAAATCTTTAAAAAAAAAAAAAAAAGAACTCACAACCCTGAGATCAAGAGTCACATGCTCTACCGACTGAGCCAGCCAGGCACCCCTCACAAGTGTTCTTCTTTTCTTTTTCTTTTTCTTTTTTTTTTTTTTAAAGAGTAAGTCAATTTTTTTTTTTAAGATTTTATTTATTTATTTGACAGAGACAGAGAGAGCGAGACACAAGCAGGGGGGAGAGGGAGAGGGAGAAGCAGGCTTCCCGCCGAGCAGGGAGCCCGATGCGGGGCTCGATCCCAGGACCCTGGGATCATGACCTGAGCCGAAGGCAGACGCTTAATGACTGAGCCACCCAGGCGCCCCCTTTTCTTTTTCTTTTTAATAACTTTTTATTTATTTATTTATTTGTGACAAAGAGAGAGCCCAAGCAGGGGGAGCAGCAGAGGGAGAGGGAGAAGCAGGCTCCCTGCTGAGCAGGGAGCCTGACGCGGGGCTCAGTCCCAGGACCCCGGGATCATGACCTGAGCCGAAGGCAGACGCTTAACCAACTGAGCCACCCAGACATCCCCTCACAGGTGTTTTCTAAGAGATCTTTATAGAACCTGGTATGTTTCAAATACTTCAGCTATCACTTACCTTTTCATCGTATTTATGATCATTTTTGACTTTCAAAAATTTTATATAAATTATCAGTCTTTTCCTTCTCTCTCCCCAGTGCACCAGGGTTACACTGAGAAAAACCTTTCTTGCCACCAAGGTTATAGAAACAATCACCTACGTTTTTGTCTATTGCTTTTATGATCCCGTTTTTTGTTAAACATGTAAATATTTAATCTTTGAAATTTATTCTGATCTATCCTGTGAGGTTGATCATTAACCCTATTTTCTTCCAAATGCTTAGTTAGCAATCCCCACACCATTTATGGAATAATCCGCCCTCTTCCTCCAGATTCCAAAGTGTGGCCTGAATGCACTAATCTTTTTTTTTTTCCTGAATGCATTCATCTTTAAAGCCAATTTGTACTAAAGCCTCCAAAGGATAGATGCCCCCCCCCGAATATATTTTTAAATAAATAAGCCAGCCTGAAAAGGCAGGTCTCCCAGCTTCTAGCCCTTCCCCCAAGGTGATTTTACGACTTTTACTTCTCTAAAGAATTTTGGTGAATTTGTCAAACAGCTGTTGTCCAAGCTTCTATAATTTGTTTTTCCAAGTCAGCACTGAAAGAGGCCTCTCCAGGTTTTAGGTGCTACATAAAACACATGTGTCTACAGGGGAATCTTGTGTTTTCGGGGTCTTTTTTTTTTTCTTTTCTTCATGACCATCCCCTCTAAAGAATGGCTTCCCCAAGGGAAAAGGGCATTACCTAAAGTAGACTGAGGGCCAAACAACTCCAACGGGCTTTCCAAATTCCAACCTGGCTGTGTTTTCCTGCCAAGACTCTTAGTCCCTAGAGGGAAGCGTGTTTCATTAAGTGGAAGGCTCAGCCTCTACCACCATCACCCCAAACTGCCATGGGAATAAGCCTTTCTTTGTAATTCTTGCTTCAGATCTCTTAACTCCACTGTGGATGCTGCCACATGAGAAGCAAGGGGTGAAGCAAGATGCTCAAAGACGTGTAGCTTTGTACAAGCTGCCGGGGGCCACTTGACTCCACAGAAATGCCACGTTCATCCACCTGCAGCTTCCAACTTCCTCACTAGAGGCCGGCAAAGGCTCAGTTTGCTGCAGACTATCAGAGCCAGAATAAGGGCTCCAAGTCTTGGAAAACAAGCCCTTTGGAGGTGAGGCTCCTAAGAACAGGATGGAGGGCAAGGGAGCTGGCGGGGGGACGGTTGTAGCCAGCTCTCATGGAAGAGAATGCAGCCGCCAAGATGCCAGCACTGGAAATGTGAGCCATTTGCAGAGGGAAGGAGTGAAAACCTGTCCCTCAGCACCCTGCCCACCCTTAAAATATTTACAGCTTACAGAACACCCCCTATCCCTCCCTTGCTTCACAAGGCCAATACAAAACAGGTAGCCCCTTCACACTGGGAAGGCAGCTCTAGAAAGATGGAGCATGACCCTAGCCTAGCAACAATCCAAGTGACCTTGGTGGGGGCGGGGGGGGGCATGTCTCCTTATCCCTGAGGCTCATTTTTCTCACATCTACAGTGGAGGTGGTATTTACAGGCGGGCTTAAAGTACTCCTCATGGATCTTTTTTTCCCATGTGTGCTCACTCTCTCTGCCAGCTCACGGAGGACCAACAGCAGCCCTGTCATAACTTAGGTGTCGCCCGGCCCTAGCCAGTTAAAGAAAAAAAAAAATCCAGCTCAACCTGAAAATGTTCAGCCTTCCAGAAAAGCATGCCAGGCATTCCCATTTGATTTTATTATAATCATCAACTCCTGAATGACAATTTCTCCAACTGCCCAGCCTTGTTTGTCTTCCTATTTATAGTCCACAAAGACTGGTATGTTGTGGGGAATTGGAAAGTTTCCTAGCTGTGACTATGAGCAAAGGGGGGAGGGGGGAGAGAAGCAGCAGAAAACAAAGAAACAGAAAGAAGACTAACAAAGCTAAAACAGTGATTTCAGACATGAGCTATCAAATGCTTCTGATAAATTTACAGAATTTTTCAATTTGGGGCGCCTGGGTGGCTCAGTCGTTAAGCGTCTGCCTTCGGCTCACATCATGATCCCGGGGTCCTGGGATCGAGCCCAGCATTGGGCTCCCTGCTCCGCAGGAAGCCTGCTTCTCCCTCTCCCACTCCCCCTGCTTGTGTTCTCTCTCTCGCTGTGTCTCTCTCTGTCAAATAAATAAATATATAATCTTTAAAAAAAATTTTTTTTAATTTAATTTTTTTAAGTAAACGCTACCCTTAACATGGGACTCGAACTCACAACCCCAAGATCAAGAGTCACATGCTCATGTCCACAATAGCCAAACTGTGGAAAGAGCCAAGATGTCCATCGACAGATGAATGGATAAAGGAGATGTGGTATATATATATACAATGGAATATTATGCAGCCATCAAAAGGAATGAGATCTTGCCATTTGCAACGACGTGGCTGGAAC